AACCAGACCTACATGCGCTCTGACTCCACCAGGTCGACGTAGTCATCTGAACGAGCGTAGTAGCCGTCTTTATTCAGAGCACCCCAAAAGTTCGACCATAGCTTGCCTCTACGGCGGAGTAGTGGAGCCACAAAGTTGCGATTAGTTGTGACCAGATGTTCAAGGGTGTCCTTTTTAGTTAATTGTGCGACGCCATCTATCATAAAGATAAATTCGCATTCTACGTTTGCCGAGCAGGCGGACCTGTAAAAAGATAGAATAAAAGAGAGGTAAGGTGCAAGAAATTTTAAGATTAACAATCATGAAGCATATCGATGTACACAACTACGAGTTTGATAACAAATTGACTAAAAATCAGAGCACATAAGCCAAATTATTGTTTGAAAGGAAAAAAAGTGAGGTGTTGCACACTATATGCTGAATAAGAAGTTAGGTTACAATGGGTCGCTTAAGGCAATAAGAAGCTGATAGCGAATTTCTCACATCAAAATTAGTAGACTTCACGATGCTTATAAAGTTTAAATGACCCTGCCCACCAAAAGGTATTCTCATCCGGTCCTTTAGCACCTAGGACAAACTTGGATGGCTCAAACTCATATTCAAAATAGATTCAAAGCGAATAAAACCAGATGAACCAAGGGCCAACATCAACTAGGAAAATGACATTCGGGTTAGTGAAGAAGAGAAGGAACTGCCTAATTAATGAAAACCTCTAAATCCATTAATACAGCAAGCCTATTCATTGGCCTCAAATTTTAGACCTTATGCAGGTACACTTGTTTTACGCGTATGTATGTATGCAAGTATGCATGCATTTAGGTATGTATATATGTGTGTATGTATTTATGTATGCGAAAAAAGGGTATTTATTCATCACACACAATTTTAATAATCGGTTAAAGCTCAAATTGTATTAACAATTGTGAAAAACTATGTTTCCTATGGGATAACCTCAGAGTAGGCAGGAGAAACAGTTATTGGTAGTCTCGAAACTCTACTGGTAAATTAAAAAGAGAAGCCTTGTTTTGGGGCTGGGAGTCGCTGAGACACCATTCTCAAGCAGCATCTAATAAGGCAGACAAAGTCAGAGCGATAAAGGCTCATATAGCAAAACTTTTCCAAAAGACATAAGCCAAGAATAGGTTCTTGCCGAGTTTATGTATGCAGTATGACAGATGAAGGCTCGACATGTATTTGTTGGAGTCTATTGAGTGCATTTTAAAAAGAGCTTTGATCACATTAATTTTCATAGTTCATAGGCACTATAACCTCGTGATCACACGAAGTCGCCATAACTCTGTTATTTTTTCCACCTAACTCGTATACAAGCTCTTTTTACTTCATACGCAATCGGGCAGTTTTGTGATAAATTAATTTTTCTGAATTAGTAGATTTCTATTTTACCTGTGTGAATGAGCATGTAGTCTGATAGTGCCGGAGTGATAAAATGAGTTGATTCATACTGCCTTTTCCTTTTTTTAGAGCAACACTATTAAAGCTCAAGCATTAATACAATTTACTGTCGAAGTCCTCCCCATGTCAACTGTTTTTGATGTATATCAGTTTAATTTGCATTCCAAACAAAAATAGCGTCAAACAGCAATTCTATGAGATGTAGTTTCGAAACCCTACTTATGAACGAAAAATTAAACAGCAGTGTTTGCAATCCCAAACTTTATGTAAATCTAAAGAGGTCTTCTTGAGCATAAAAATAATGTTTACCTCTATGCATGTACGTCTATGGCTTGAACCCCTCCGAAAAGATTAGGAGAGGTCGAAGCTGCAGTCAAGTCTGTAGGATAACAGCCTTGCGGCATATATTGCAAAGTGAAATTCAGTGCTAAAATGCAACATTTCAGTCAAATAAGGAACCTGTCCGAATTCTTCTACCTCGACAACAGTCAGATGCATTTGCGAGATGCAAGGCTGGCTCGTGCTTCAGTCTTCGAACCTTCAAATCAAAGCATCCAACCTAAATATCCCACGGCAAAAGCACATGAGTTGGTCAAAATTAATTGCTTTACCTCCACGGAAAAATGGGAAAATCGTAAAACTTATCACAAATCTTTCAATAGCCACCACAAAAGATAAGATAAAATACAATTTTTTACTATTCAATCAGTTAAGTTCAAAGTAGAGCCTACTCACAATGCCGTACTTCTAGCCTCAACTTCTGTATTTGCAAACACCTCTGTGGTCATTTTGTATCTAAGTCCATGCGTAGAATTGAAGTGTTCCAGAATCCCGTGTTGGAAATTTGCGTCCTCCTTAGAGAGAAAATAGATGGAAGAGATTAAGGTAAATACAAATATATTTCAAAAAATTATTAAAGCTATAGCAAGTCAATAGCCTTGACTCAAATCGCAATTTTCGCAGACAATTATTATATGAGATTAATTACGATTGACTATTATTTGGGGTAAAATAAAGTATGAAAAAATCAGTTTTGTTGATTTTTTAAATAAAGTATTATAATGAAAAAGACCAGATGGATAAATTGAAACAGAAAAATGGGTGGCTTAATGAGTCTTAAAGCTTTCACTTACTTGCCTAACTTAGACATGATATATAATTAAATATAAACTTATAATGGAAAGTAAGACTCACATTAAAATGGACAAGTAGGTGAATCCTTGACTTGGGGTAGGTAAGGGAGGCAATGCGCTGGAAGAAGACATCAAGAAAAGGCGTTGGCACTTCCACAAATATTGCCAGGAAGACAATGGGAAATTCAGAAATCTATATAAGGCCGAGAAAAAGTTGTTTTAAGAGTCTGCCCGCTAAAGCGATCAAATTCCAGAGTTACTCATACTTACCATCATTTCCCGCAAATTAAGAGTCCCTTCCTTGCAATGGATACAGCCATCTGTGGGTGTCCAAGAGTGGGCAAGGTAATTTGTGAGTAAATTGAATTCAGACTAAACACAAGAGAAAATGTAGAAAAATTGTCAAAATTAGATTGCAACGATATTTGCACCGGCCCGAATTGACCAGCCATTTCCCTGACATTTGATGAGATAAAGATGAAAAAAAATAACCTACGTTTACATTTTATTTTACTATACCTCGTGAATTAATGCCATTTGAGGCAAGAGATTCCGTTCTTAGAAATTGTTTGCGCTGTCAAAAGGCCGAAGCGAATGAGACTATGGTACCAAATATCATGACTTCAGTTGCCGAAGCCACCCACAGTATAATTTAACATTAGATTTAACCATTGTTTTAATATATTGAAAATCCTGTTTGACGGACTTTCATTTCATATGAAAGTGAATAAAGAATAGATTCGTCTGTCGATCTCACCAGATGGGGACAGATAAATCTCTTTATACTACAGCCGTTTGGCTTTTATACGATTTTCATGTTGACGCAGTCCACGATATTTCCTCCCTCGTTTAGGGTGAAAACGTGCTGAGCTTTCGTCCATACTATGATGGACATCATCAGAGCTGGGTGTCATTCTTGTAAGAGTCTCACGTTAACACTAGGCCAAGAACACTATCCGGCTCTATCTTACTTCTTATATAGACTCAATTGAGCAAAATGAAAATTAAAAACCTAGACAGATATAGAATGGTTTGGTTAATTATCTTTCATATTTGTCCTGTTAGTTTTGTTCGAGTGTGTGAGGGTGTGTATGTATGTGTGCTAGCGTCTATACGAAATACCGGAGGTAAATCAGAGTTGTTAAAAGGCTAATGAGATGTATTCACCCTATTTCGTGTAAGGTGATGAAGGACTGAGGGTGTTGATAAGACCAATGCGAGGTCGAAACTGCAGTCCACCCAGGATGAGAACAACTTTTGGG